CCAGCCGGCCTGCTTTAAGAGTGGTGGACTTCCACTCCCAGAATCCCACAGCCAGGATGCTTTAAGAGGGGAGGACTTTCACTCCCAGAATCCCCCAACCAGCGTGCTTTAAGAGGGGTGGGCTTCCACTCCCAGAATCCCCCAGCCAGCCTGCTTTAAGAGGGGAGGGCTTCCACTCCCAGAATCCCCCAGCCAGCCTGCTTTAAGAGGGGAGGGCTTCCACTCCCAGAATCCCCCACCCAGGATGCTTTAAGTGGGCAGGACTTCCACTCCCAGAATCCCCCAGCCAGCCTGCTTTAAGAGGGGAGGGCTTCCACTCCCAGAATCCCCCAGCCAGCCATGCTTGAAGAGGGGAGGACTTCCTCTCCCAGAATCCCCCATCCAGCAGGCTTTAAGACGGGTGGATTTCAAGTCCCAGAATCCCCCAGCCAGGCTGCTTTAAGAGGGGAGGACTTCCACTCCCAGAATCCCCCAGCCAGGATGCTTTAAGAGGGGAGGACTTCCGCTCCCAGAACCCCCCAGCCAGGCTGCTTTAAGAGGGGAGGGCTTCCACTCCCAGAATCCCCCAGCCAGGATGCTTTAAGAGGGATGGGCTTCCACTCCCAGAATCCCCCAGCCAGGACACTTTAAGGGGGGGTGGGGTTCCACTCCCAGAATTCCCCAGTCAATGTGCTGTCTGAGGAATTCTGGGAGTTGAAGTCCACAGATCTTAAAAGTTGCTACAGTTGAGAATCGCTGCTACAGTTATTGTACACAGCGTAAATTAAAGAGTCCAAAGACATGTGTGTGTGTGTGTGTCTGTGTGTGTGTGTGTCCCACGGATTGTGTCCCACACTCCACCCCCTACAGTCTTTTCCCCTTCTGCATTTCTTCTGTGGGCTTATCTGGCTTTCACACCATAGAGAATTTTATCAATTGAAGGGGGGGCAGGGGGTGGGAAAGTGTTACGAGATTTTTCTAACAGCCTTACCCAACTTCATTAGGGAGATGAAAGAGGAGTAAAAGAGGAATAATTGGATGTAGCCAGGAAGACAGTGGTTGTGTGTTGATGTGTTAAAAAAAAAAAAAAAAACCCATCGCGGAAGTTTCACACTTTTTTTCCCCAAAACGAAGAACGTGCAGCAGAGTTTAAAATAGTTGAGTTTGGATTCTGCTAGACACCCCAAATGCCTTCAGTGGGGCCAGGAAGCAGAGATGCCCTCCCCCCCCAATGCTTGAGACGAGGGTTGTGGGGCCCACCGTGGCCCCCAGACCCGTATTTGACTCAGGTTGTTTAGCACCGCCAGGAAAGATTCTTTGTAGCTCAGGGTTGAACTGGGGGTGTGGGGCCTGCTTGGTGCTCTCTGAACTTTACGATGTCGGGGTTCCAGCGACCTTCCTAATTCAATCATGATCCTCGAGCCCAACTTCAAAAAAACTTCAAAGGAGTCATTAGAGGTGACATCCTGGCTCTGCCTTATATGAAAACATTCCCGGTCCCCCTGTGACCTTCTTTTCCCGCCCTCTTTCCTGGGTGTGTCATAAACCAGATTCTCCCAACTTTGCACCTTCACGGGCTGGGTGTCCTCAATCACGTTTCTCCAATTCAATATATTCACGGGGAAAAAAAGCTCTGGTAGTTTTAGTTACAATCTTTTAAAGAGAAGAGTTGGAATGGACTTCCGCTTCCAAAATGGCTGCGCTGCTCTTCCAGGTTTTCTTCCTCTCCTGCACCCCCTTTTTTTAATGGCAACTACTAAAACAGGCCTAGGAATGTTTGATGAGTTGCCATACGGCCTCTGGAGCGTACGGTCTGCAATTCTGCCCCCCGCTTTCCCTGCCTCTTCTACCGGTAAGCACCACAAATTGCCATTCCGGAGGGGCTAAGCTGTTTAGCAGAGGCCTTGAATAGAAAGCACACCAATCGGGGGGGGGGGGGTAGTCCCCCTCCGGGCACAGCATTCGAGGGTTGGGGGGGCTTGTTTTTACCACCCCTAGCAAGTTTTGCTCTTCCCCCAACACCTCTTAAGATCTTGGCCAAATGCGGAGATCCAGTCATGGAGCCAGTTCAGATTACAGTTTTAACAAGAGTTGGAAGAGACCTTGTAGGTCAGCTGGCTGGGGCATTCTGGGAGTTGAAGTCCTCCAGGCTTAAAGTTGCCAAGGTTGGAGACCCCTGTTGTAGGTCATCTAATCAAACCGCACCCACCCACCCGACTCAAAAAGGAGACCCTACACCATTTCTGACCAATGGCAGTCCACTCTTTTCTTGAATGGCTCCAGGGATGAAACTCCCACAATATTTGTCTATTTATCTATTATTTATCTATTTATCTATCTATTATTTATCTATTATTTATCTATTTATCTATTATTTATCTATCTATCTATCTATCTATCTATTTATCTATCTATTTATTTATCTATTTATTTATTATTTTCAAGCAATTAGATAACAGCTATAAGTATAAACATGGTTATGAATACATGAAATGGATACTAATAAGAAAAAAGAAACAACAGGACACGTACGGTAGGCAGGTTGGTGCGCTTATGCACGCTCCCTACAGACCACTTAGGAAAGGGGTGAGGTCAATAGTAGAAAGTCTAAGGTTAAAGTTTTGGGGGTTTGGGGAAGAAACCACAGAGTCAGGTAGAGGATTCCAGACATTGACCTCTCTGTTGCTGAAGTCCTATTTCCTGCAATCAAGTTTGGTGCGATTAACCTTGAGTTTGTAACTATTGTTTGCTCTTGTGTTGTTATGGTTGAAGCTGAAGTTTTCATTGACAGGTAGGACATTGCAGTGTATGATTTTATATACTATATTTAGATTGGACCGGAGGCGACGTACTTCTAGGTTATCTAGGTCTAGAATTTCAAGTCTGGTGGGATAAGGTATTCTGCAATGAGTAGAATAACAAAATCATAACAGATTAACAGAATTGGAAGGGACCTTGTAGGTCATCTAGTCCAGCCCCCCGCCCAAGCAGGAGACCTTACACCACTTGTGACAGATGGCAGTCCAGTCTCTTCTTGAAAGCCTCCAGTAATGAATCTTCCACAACTTCTGAAGGCAACTCCTGTTCCATGGGTCGATGGTTCTCCCTGTCAGAAAATGTCTCCTTATTTCTAGGTTGAATCTCTCCTGGGTCAGTTTCCATCCATGATTCCTTGTCTGGCCTTGGAGAATAGCTTGACCCCCTTCCTCCTCCTCTCTGGGGCAGCCCCTCAAATATTGGAAGATGCTCTCCTGTCTCCCCTGGTCCTTCTCTTCCCTGGACTAGCCAGGCCCAGTTCCTGCAACAGTTTCTTCGTATGTTTTATCCTCCAGTCCCCTAAATCATCCTGGTTGCTCTTCTCTGCACTTTTTCCAGAGTCTCAACCTCTTTTTATAGTGTGGTGACCAAAACTGGATGCAGGACTCTAGGTGTGGCCTTACTAAGGATAGATGGATGGATGGATGGATGGATGGATGGATGGATGGATGGATGGACGGACGGACAGACTAGACTAGCCATGCCCAATTCCTGCAACCATCCATTATATGTCTTAGCATCCAGTCCCTATAGATGGATAGACAGAAAGACAGACACAGAGATGATAGATAGATGATAGATAGACAGACAGACAGACAGACAGACAGACACGATAGATAGATAGATAGATAGATAGATAGATAGATAGATAGATAGATAGATAGAGACAGACAGACAGACAGACATA